CATCTCCCCGAGACACCTCCAGGCTCAAGCACACAAACACACACAAACACACACACGCGCACACACACTCGTGATGATATTGTACTGACTTGTATCCACTCCCCGCAGCTGTTCTCTTACCATGAATGTCACATAAGAGATGCACCAGAAGCATTAGCAGGCTGGTTTTGACTCGAATGGCCGGTTCAGGTTTTGGTGACAATCGGGGACACTTATTTCATTTATATGCAGTGTACATTATTCACAGGAACGTTGCAGACTTTAGATTTATGGTTTGAATAAATAAGTAAAACAATGTTTCAGTGAAGCCTGATTAAGTGAAGCTTATACTGCATACTACAGTAACTACATACTGGTAATTTATTGCTACTCTGTATCAAATCAAACCCTGAAGCATGGCCATCTGCATCGAGTGGGCATCTGGCACCGGGAGTCGAAAGGGGCGGATTGTGGCTTCCTCATATCAAGTACTGGACTGAATCTACGTCTTCTTTTAACCTTTCCCCCAACGCTGAACCTGCCGCAATGTGCTTCAGCCTAAACACATGAAACAACAAGCTCGACCGAACCGTAATTCTAGCCTCAGGTTCTAAAATAACGCATCCTCATAAGGTTTGAGGAACAGTTGTCAACAGTAGCCAGCTGGCCAGGTTTTCTATTCCTGAGTAGAGCCCACAATGGAATCCCACTAAAAGCACACAATCACTGCTGTAGACAAATAAATATAGGAATATTTATAGGAAACAAAATGTTGTTTCATTGATCGCATTGTTGATCTTTTTCAATGATGCAAACAGGTCCAACAATTGACATCTAATAAATAATTGAATTGTTAATCTGGAACTACACTTCCTTGCTTGTTGGATTTAAAAGTTATCCGTCTAATTTAACTACATTTATTTATGTACCCCATAAACCCGCAGTAAGATTACCAGTAAACTACACTTAATGGCACCATTACCTCATGCAAATCAATTTTATTCTCATTTATGAAACAGTGTTATCTCACATTGAGCACAATCGGTTTATTCAGATTATGTGTAGATTATATGTCAAATCAACAGAACAGAAAACCCTGTTTGTTGTTCTAACCCATCTTCAAATTTGGACAGATGGACCGGCTGAATCCCTTCTAGTGTAAATAACAAGTCAAACATAGAAACTTGTTCCCTCTGCACCCAACCGAGTCTTCCCCTCCACTTCATACTGGCCCCATTTACAGCTCAATTAGGGGACACGGTATTTTCTACGGGTATGCAGAGATCCCATTTGATTAACAACAAATAACATATTACTATGCTACATCAATTTGGATAAAAATCTACTGGAGGCTCCTGACAACCACGGTGATCTACATTGGCAACTAGACGTCTCTAGTAGGAGAGAAATGAAGGAGAACCAAGGGGCATTTAGCCAAAGCTAATGATAAAATGGATTTCACTGGTTTAGTGGTGGAGACAGTTGTTTAACATCTCATCACATAGATTGCTCTCTGTTTAACACTAATGTTAACCGGATTGCTGGCATCGCTAAACGAATACCTCAATCTCCCTCCTCCTGGCTTAAGTACACACAGAATAAAACACGGGCCTTGTTACGGCAATTATTGATGCATAGAGTTTAATTAGTTCGGTGCATTAATGTAGCCAAACCTCCCTTTGAGCAAAGCGCTTGTGCCTTTGAGGTCTCATTTCAACATGAAAGAGACCTTCTCAACACGCTGTTGTCTCGACCTCAACCAGGAACCCTCCAAAGATAAAACTGCATCTCCACCGCGTATCACGTATATCAAGGACGACACTTTGGGCAGGTGTGACATCTGAAGATAACCTATTCTGGTTCTGATTGAGCTGCACATATTTACTAGACTCATATTTGCATTTGACGTTGTCTCTCAACGATGACCTGGAGGCTCCTGGGTAATTTGATGATGCTGTGAGTCTGTTAGGGTATCTGGTTAGATACCTTTTCAGTTTTCTTTCTTGTATAGAGCGTATCCCTTAAAATTGGGATGGCCAGAGGCACAAATCAGAGCAGTAGAAAATTCAGACGGCCTTTTCTCTGCGGTAAATAACCAAAATACTTCAACAAATTACTGAATTCAGTTAGGACCCAAAACCAGAATCCAGAAGTTAACTGATTAAAATCCTCATTATTAAGAACTCTCTCAATGTGCCCGCAATTTTCAGCTTCGTGATTGAACGTTTCATAGCTCCTCTCAGAATTTTTACCTTTGACCTTCAATTATAGGGTCCTTGTTCAACTGCAGGAGTTTTGCCAAATCCAAGCTTTGGATGTCGGCTAATTATATTCCAGAAAATGAATTCAAAATAAATATTGTTTCAGTTCATTATTTCAAAATGAATTACATGCTTAACTTGCTCTTCAACTGGAGGGAAAGGGATTCTTCCCTGGATGTGCACAGCTCTCTACATGATTATAGGAGTGTAAAACATTTAGTGTTCTTGTTTTTAAAAATGAATAATAACAGCGTCTGTCATCCACGGCTGGCGTCCGAAGTAACATACAGTCCTGAACTGAGGGCAGTGCCTTAAACCGCAGATTAAATGGAGAATTTGCTGCTTTTAAGTCAAATGTTTTGCTGAAGGAAACAAAGCAAAGCAACTCACAATGGTTTCTCACTTCACTTTATCTTCCTCTGCGCTCGCTGCCTCTCTCTCTCTGTCTGAATATTTTAGTATTGATGAGCCCATTACTGATGATAACAGTGCAGTGTCAGCATCCTTTCTCTCTCTTTCTCCCTCACACACACACACACAGACACACACACACACATACGCTCACTCATCAGGAATCAGGTTACAACTCTGCCGCTGCTGTGTACTTTTGTGCAGTTCTGTGTGTGTGTGTGTGTGTGTGTGTTCAGCAGGAGGCTGGGAGATCTGACTTCCTGGCATCAATCCAGTAAATTGCACTGTATTTTTTTCAGGCTGAAGACGGTCCACATGCACACTCGCTGGCACACAAATACACACACACAAATACATGGGCGATGCCTGTTGGCTGCTAAAGGGATGAAAAATGTGCATTGAACACACAAACAGCGACATAAAGAAGGAGCATCAACATAACAAACCAAGGGGGAATGGAGGTCTGAGCTTAGGCCGAAAACATGGATGTGATTACTGAAACTGTAGAGCCGGGTCAATAGTTCTGATGTGCGACCCTTCAAAAGCCTCAATCACGATTGGGATGGAAACACAACAGAACGCGACCAGGGGCAGCTTAGACATCTTCTCCCGTATATATTTCAGCGCCACGCTTAAATCATCACCGGCGTCGAAGCGGGTTGAGACCCTGAAGTTCATTTCTACGTCAAAAATGACATTCACCTGGCAGACTTAGTCTTTAAGAACAAGGGCTGGTGAGGTGAAGGTAAAACATTATCCTCCAGTTGTTCCCCTTATTGAAATTAAAGCAGTGGTCAAGGAGAAACACATTTGAGTTTTAACTTTGCGAAAAAGGAGGAGTGGACACTTGATATGAGGGAGATGTCTGACGTTTAGTGCAATCCGCCCATAATGGTATCACAATGTTATTATCTGCAAATTATGCTTCTCAGCTATGAGAGGGAGGGGGAATTGTAGCATTTGAAAAAAACAAAACACAATTGGTTTCAAGACATGCATGCCCTGAGGGGAAGCTCTCAGCACGTATAAAGTAGGTGCCGGTTGTTTGATCAGCCATGCGTTTGATCACAATCACTTGTCTCTGCAGCAACGGATGAGTCACCTAATTTGAGAACGGGCGCTGCGTGTTTGGCATCAGGAGGGGTGTACCGCGTTAGCTAACATTTAGCTTAAATGCCCCCCCCCCCCCCCCCCTCACCCCCTTTTCCTTCGAGACAGGTGGCACTGAAAGAACACACCACAGACCCCAACGGACTGAACAACAAATCTACCTACGGCGGGAAAAAGTTGTAAATAATAAACAAATACCGGGATCAAAGCGCGTCCGCCCTAATCTATCGAAATTGATCAAAATACTCCTTGGACCAAGGCACATATTGTCCTTCTTGCGAAAAAGGAAATAAGCCTCCTGGGCAGAATGAACTTTTCCCACTGGAAATATATAATTCAGTATAAATCGTACCAGCAGCAATGCTTTAGTAGAGATTACTTATCAACCATTAAGGGGAACACATTTTGGGTTATCAAAATTAACTGGTGGGGTTTTTTTTAGGAGTTACGCAGCAGTCAAACATTGGTAATTAATAAATGCCAAAGTTGGCAATAGTCACATTTTGGTCCGGTTTCTAATCCTTCAAAGAGAATGTTCAACAGCCTGGCAACCCAAACACTTTCATTATTTATTGGTTAATAAAGCACCAGTGAATTATTTATTAATTAATTAGCTATTATGCACTTCTCTTAATTAAGAATGTCATATTAGAAGGAGGTTGATGTATTTTAGGACAAGGCGGTCAGCTCCTTAACAAAGCAAACATTTCAATCTAACGATTTAATGCAGTTATGAAGTTCCTGTGAGATTGATCTTTCCATCCACACTGCTGTTACGATGGAGATACAAAAGGCCCGATAAGGTGAAGAAACTCTCTGAGGACTCACTAGGAGAACGTTTCACAGAGAGTACGGTGTGATGGTTGGAGGCGAACTGCACACCGGTTCACACTGACAGCCACCGGCCCCACCGGCACCACCGGCACCACCAGCACCACCGGCATCACCAGCACCACCGGCACCACCAGCACCACCGGCATCACCACCACCACCGGGACCACCAACACCACCAGCACCACCGGCATCACCAGCACCACCGGGACCACCAACACCACCAGCATCACCGGCACAACCAGCACCACCGGCACCACCAATCAGCATTCGGCTCAAAACGAGGCGCCACGTGCCTCGTTCCGTTGGCGCGCTGTACGTCAGAAGTGGCGAGAGGCTTCAAGGTGCACACGCAACACACAGTATTCCCCGAATGCATAGTTAGGACACACACACACACACACTTACATCTCGGAGGACGGCGGCTGGCTACGGCAGAGGAGCGCGTGTCCGCACGCTTGTCCCATCGCGCATCCTGCCTCGCGCCTCCCCGGTTAACAGTCAGGAGGACCTGGAGCGAGGGGAGGAGAGCAGCAGGGGGGACTGCTGAGGGGGGGGTTAGGAGGACGGACGATGGTTGGATGTGTGTGCGTGCGCGCGCGTGGTCCTCTTGCTTCCTCTCCAGCGTGTCTGTCTCTCTCCGGTCTGCCGTCTCCTCTCGGGTTGTGACCGCGCACGGGGATTGGTCGGGACCCGGTAACTGATACTCGAGCAATGGTGAGCGAGGATAAAACGAGAGAGAGAGAGAGGGGGAGAGAGAGAGGGGGGGGGAGAGACCGCACTATTGCGCTCCGCGCCACATGGACACATCAACAGTCTGAAGACCCGTCAGTCAAACCGGAGCGCGTCACCGTCCGTGCGCGCGCTGACAGAATACACCTCAAACACCCCTCAGGTCATCCACGTGCTCTCCCACGAGTCCCAAAATGCATCCGTCGGAATGATAGTCGTGTTGTGAGAATTCAACTTCCACGGTCCAGCTCCTCGCGCCAGCTGCGCATTTTGATCACAACTCCCACGGCGCGCGCGCGCGTCTCGCTTCTCTTCGCGCCGCACGCGCGCGGCTCCGGGCGGGACACGACTTGAACTTGTTCCACCCTCCCTAACAGAGGAGACCTTATCGGTCCGTGCGCCGAAGGGTTTCACAATAAAACCACATGTTGCACTAGACTCCAGTGTGTCACGGGACACAAGTCTCAAGGTCCAATACGGAGCTTCCGACCTTATATGGCTTCCCCCGTACACACACACACACGCACGCACGCACACACACACGCACACACACACACAAAGATTCAACGTTTCACTACAAGAGAAATGCCCGTTGAAACAGGAGCCTGTAAATATCCCCAAGTGGCTTCAGATGTCAGACGTTTGACACTCTCGCAGGTGCGCATTTTTTATTAAATATATTGACGTAAGACAGAAAATTTGTATTTTACACAAAAAGAGCATCTGACAAGATGAAAAACCCCTATGAGAACACAAGCGTCCTCAATTATGTTTGCTGATTAGACGTCTACTCGCGGCCTGTGAGAGTATTGGCTGACTGTGATTGATTGACAGCTCGTGTCAATCCTTCTCACACTGATTTGTTGTTTCTGTTGGTAATCATGGTCATTATTAGAAGTTTGTGGTTGGCGAACCAGCTCCCACATGAGCCAATCAGACAGACTGCAAACAACGAATTAAGGCCTTTAATCCTTAATACATCCTTACTGTAAAACAGTGTTTTCTCTAAATGTGCTCTGTGTTCTGGTGGAGGGGCAACAATTAGTCACTTTGTGGTCATGTTTTCTGTACTGCTCCATAGACTGTTGCACTAGTCAAGGGGCCAGGATTGAAAACTATAAAATGGTCTATTTTGAAAGAGTCTTGATTGCAAATTAAAAGTCTAACATTACGGTGCAACTAACATTTGTAATGTGTCCATTGAGTGTTTTGGTAAGATATGCACGTATTAGGGCCCCGATTTGCACAAGAACCTGAAACAGGCCGACATTGTTAACATTGTCACTTAATCATGAATGAAACACGCATGCGGTGTAAAAGTCATATTTACGACAGTGCAGCAGGTCTCTGAACCACAACAATATCCCTGACATGCCGATAGAAAGTTCAGAGGTCTCCTGGGCTCAGGGGTAAAACCAGCACCTAGATAACCAGGGATGGCAATGGACTTTGCTTACTTATTACTTTGATGAGTCACTCATTACTCATTCTAAATGTCAAGAACGTTTTATTTCTGTATATTTAGCATCCCTTTAATCATCTTGAGACCCGTTGTAGACGTCCCAACTGCTCGGTCGAAACACTGTTACAGCATTTGGGCTGGGAATACATCTACTTTTTTGTTACCTTACATGGTCACATTTGATTATCTTGCAGGTCCTGTATTTGATAAAGTGTGTGACGAAAAGAACGGATGAGCTCAGAATGACTGTCTAAACAGATACAATCTGATTTAAGCCAGACGATCTCGCTTTAAAACAGAAAGACCAGAGGGAACCCAAAAATTAGATCTGTTGATGTAAATCTATCCCAGCATCTCTGTCCATCCCCACAGCTCCTCACGCTGATGTTGTTGATGTAGATTCATCTTCACATTCAAACTTTATGTCAGAATAACAGCATATCAAATAAGAAGGCAATTTAAGACCACAGATGACTTTGTCTTCCTCTCATCACCAGCCGGAGGTATACAACACCTCCTTTTACGTAACCCTAATACAGAAAATACAGAGGGACAATGCGATGTGACAAAAAAAGCGCTGAGCATCTTAGGTCGCCTCACAGGCGGACGCTGCCAATTTACAAGGTGGGACAGTGAGAGAAAAAGAGGAGAGCTGGGAGAGGAAGAGGACGCGCAGGCTGACTCAGCTCAAAGAAATGTATGCGAAGGACACTAAAAACAGACGCAGACATTTTCTCCATTAGGTTGTTCTGGGTTCTATGAATGAACGATGGTAGGAGTCATTCTAGCAGCTGTGAGGCATCGCTGCATGCTTTCAATGAAAATGCTAACATTTATTCTTCTTGGTGTAACATGTTAGCATACTAACTTTTGCTGATTAGTGCTCCATGTCAGCACCAGGCGACAACCTGTCATTAAACGTTGTAAATATCTGCGGCTCATTTCAAGACTTCTTCACTACAGCATGATGTTCATTTAGTAAATGATGGTCCAGTCAGAATCAAATAGACCATAAAGGAGGAGTGTCGGGTCGCCACCACGGTGTCTGGGTGTTTGTTGACGTCTTTTCACTTTTCACTTCACTAACGTTAAAGGTAGCACTTTCTCACTGTTCTCATTCGGCGCTCAGTTCAAATCGACAAGTGATGTCACGTCGACGTCATCCGTTTGAGTCTGTTACAGTCTAACGGGCAGCACTTAACCCGATGCGCAGCTGATGGGAACGGCTTTGGTTTTGCGGGAACTTGTCATTCTGTAAAGTAATTTAACCTGATGATGGCGACAGAGGAAAGGTCAGCTGGATTATCACAGTTACAGGGATTCATCTACGGACTATCAATGCCAGTGGTAAATGTTGTGGTAATCGATCCAATAGCTGAGATCTTTTGGCCAACGTTGCCATCCATTGAGTCACTTAGCTGGAACCAATTTCATTTGTCATTTGTTCAAAGGGGCTTTTCATGATTTTATTCATATTCATTAAAATAATTTCATCACACATTCTTTCAGTGAATAAAGCTGCTGTATTTTCACTATAAGCTCAGAAAAAAAGGCAAAAGACTGAGGTGAACCCCCCCGGAGAAACCCCCACCCCGTCCATACAGTCAGTAAGAGGCAGCAGCTGCACTGTGACAGCAGTGTTTGACCAGTGCTCTGCAATAAAGTGCAGTGAAGCTTATTTTTATGAGAGCTGAAGTTCCTGTTGTTCCAGCCTCTACTCAAACACACAGAGTGGAGCTGCTGCTTTAGATGAGATAAGACACAGCGACAGCTACGCTCACGACATGTGACACAAACTTGAAGCAAGCTATTAATTCAAACCCCAAAACCGGCTTTTACTCATTAAAAAAACATTTGTTTGTTACATAAGACTACAGTTGGAGACATTGCATTCCTCCGGGCCTGAATCAAAAAGTGACATGTATCACGTTTTGGTCTTTCAATGAAAAAGCCAGAATCACGGCGCGAGATGTGATTCAGTCTCCGGCTCCGTGGGATAAGTGTCACCGCCACTCTCGGCGTTGGCCCTCGGTGTCCCACCGAGTGCTGTAATCAAGGCCTGTGAATCAGAGGAGAGAACATCGAGACAAAACCACTCCCCTGACGCCGACATGGAAGTTTAGTGACCGTGAAGGTAACAAGCACTTGTTGTGACTTAACGAAGCTGTGCGGCAGAAAGAAACCACGTCACGCTTCAGTCGATTGAGTTCCCCAGAGTGTTGCTCCCGTATCAGCTCCTTGAGTTGATTACATCAGAACTTGATTAGACCTTCTGTCCTCTACCTGGAGTGTTTACTGACATTTATGGTCTACCAGATCCACCAATCGCTAATACTTCCTCGAATTCGAAAGCGCCGACTGAACAGAAGCTCAATTATTTATGATACTTTCTGTGGCCGTGGCCTGATTGGTAAACAACTCTCCGTTGAGCCATAATATCAGTGATAATGGCATCTTCCAGCAAGCTGTGATACACGGAACTAGTCTTGCGGCTGTGAGCTATTATGGCCTGCAGCAGACATATGGAGGGACAATATGCTTGTGAGTGTTGGGCTGTAAGGACAAGAGAGGAATTAAAGCGTGTGGACATCTGTTGGTAAAATGGATCCTGTGCATCTCTGTCCTTACCTGTCATGTATATAAAGATTCATATGCTCGCGCACTGGCCTCCATGGGGAGAAATGTAACGGTGGTCTAATGGAGTAATAATTCATATTAAATATTATTTTCTTACATTTTTTGCACAAAAGAGATATGAATTATAAAAATACCCTTTGTTAGACTAACATGTCAAATTAAAAAAGTACAATTTAATAAATAAATGCACCTAAGCTTCTCCTTTTACGTACACACTAGCTAACGTTAGCCTAGTTTGTGCAGCTAACGTCAGCTAACAGCTAACTTTGTTCATTCAGTAACATTCATACAAATATGCTGAACTGTTTGAAGTCGGGGAAACTGTCAGGTGTCCATCTGGAGCTCTCCGTCACGAGACTGATGAGAGGAGAGGGACAAATAGAGAGGGAGGAATATTAATACATCATCTTACTCGCTAACGTTACCCCTCCTAAGATGGACTCCCTTTTCTATTCGTATCTGTTTCTGAGACAATGCATGTGCCACTATTTGTTCGTTACGTGGTTTACTGTGCTTCACATTTCGCTACCACAGATGATCAGCCGTGACTATGTATGGTTAATAGTAAATCAGGGCATTTTAACATTGGTCTAAATATTGTAAAAAACTGTTCTGTCATTTGTCCAATTTAAATGCAGCAATAAATGGTGTTTCATTTTTTTGTAGGAGATTTGAGGGCACGAACCCATTCTGGATGTAGAAGGGGGTGCCTGGCCTAAAAAGGTTGAGAACCGCTGCTCTAGACTGTAACGGCTTTATCAAGCAGTTTGATCGCTCTTTTATGAATTTAATAATAATAAGTTCATATTACATAAGACTTTAGCTCTGTTTTCCCACTCGCCGACAAGAAGCGTGAGATTCTTTAAACCCTCGAGCACTATGTATGTGTGAAAAATAATTAAAGACTGGTTTGCTGATGTGTCGCGGACGCTTTTTAAATATCAAGCGTGCTGAATATCTGTAGCTGTCGAGGAGTCTGCAGCCATTGAAACAGCCAACTAGAGCGCATGAAACAATCGCACTAACTAACAACGTTGTTTTATGAAGCAATGTCCAAGCACCACAATTATCTTTTACAAATTGCTGGAAACAAAATCGACTGCCAGCAAAAGACGGCCGCTCCAGTTGAGCAGACACGCTTTTCAGACATTTTTCACTTTTTCTATTCATCCCTCCTTATCTTAATCCGCTCCTTCCCATATCTGT